GTTTTGTTTTTTAGAGACAGAGTCTCACTTTGTCACCCTCGGTAGAGCACCGTAGTGTCACAGCTCATAGCAACCTCCAACTCTTGGGCTTCGGTGATTGTCTTGCCTCAGCCTTCCAAGTAGCTGGGACTACAGGTGCCCACCACAATGCTTGGCTATTTTTGGTTGCAGTTGTCATTGTTGTTTAGCAGGCCGGGGCCGGATTTGAACCTGTCAGCCCTGATGTATGTGGCCATCACCCTAACCACTAAGCTACAGGCACTGAGCCCAGACGTAACCTTTAAAAAATTTTTTTTCTTTTTAGGGGCACCACCTATGGCTCAAAGGAGTAGGGCACCAGCCCCCTATGCAGGAGGTGGTAGGTTCAAACCCAGCCCTAGCCAAAAACTACAAAAAAAAAAAAATTTTTTTTGGCTTTGTTTTGTTTTGCTTAAAAAGGCTGGTCTAGGCCGGGCACAGTAGCTCTCGCCTATAATCCTAGCAATCTGGGAAGCGGACGCAGGTGGATCACCTGTGTTCAGGAGTTCAAGACCAGCTTGAGCAAGAGTGTGACCCCATCTCTTAAAAAAAGAAAAAAAATAGGCAGCACCTGTGGCTCAAAGGAGTAGGGTGCTGGCCCCATATGCTGGAGGTGGCGGCTTCAAACCCAGCCCCAGCCAAAAACCACACACACACACAAAAAAATAGCTGGGCATTGGCAGGCATCTGTTGTCCCAGCTGCTTGGGAGGCTGAGGCAAGACTATCTCTTGAACCTGGGAGTTTGAGGTTGCTGTCAGTTATGGTTGGTGCCATGGCACTCTACCCAGGGTGACAAAGTGAGACTCTGTCTCCAAAAAAAAAAAAGAAAAAGAAAAGAAAAGAAAAAAGAAAAATCAGATGGTCCTCACCCTCCTGGATCCTATATCTAATGGGGAAAACTTGCTCAGCTAGACAATGGCAAAGGAAGTATTATTGTCATTGCTGCTGTTCGTCATGATTTTGGGTACTTGGAATATTTAGGAGTATTCCTTTGTTTATGGTATCTTCTCTTCATTGGCTTATATATGGCTCCCTTATTTGTTTTGTTTTTTGAAACGGAGTCTCACTATGTCACCCTCTGCAGAGTGCTGTAGTGTCACAGCTCACAGCTACCTCAAACTCTTGGGCTTAAGCAATTCTCTTGCCTCAGCCTCCCAAGTAGCTGGGACTACAGGCACCTGCCACAACACCCAGCTATTCTTTGGTTGCAGTTGTCATTGTTGTTTGGCAGGCCCGGGCTGGGTTTGAACCCACTGAGCTAAAGGCACTGAGTCTATTTGTTTGTTTTTAATAATGATTAAGCATCATTATTAACCATTCACCCAAAACAAGAACTAGAATCTTGATAAGCACATACATGTATTATACATATGCACCCTACATCTTCCCCCTTGCCCCCCTCCGCCCTAGGTAAATGTGATCCTGAACTGAATTTTGTGTTCCCTCTTTGTTTTCTTTTTTGAACAATTTTGTCTTACCTATATATATTCCAAAAGTATATATAATATATATATGTATAGGCTCGGTACCCATAGCACAGTGGTTATGGAGCCAGCCACATACACTAAAGGTAGCAGGTTCGAACCCTGCCTGCCAGCTAACCAACAATGACAACTGCAACAAAAAATAGCCAGGCATTGTGGTGGGCACCTGTAAGTCCCAGCTACTCGGAAGGCCGAGGCAAGAGAATCACTTGAGCCCAAAAGTTTGAAGTTGCTGTGAGTTATAACGCCACAGCACTCTACCCAGGGCGACATAGTGAAACTGTCTTGCTTTGTTGTCCTGGGTAGAATACTGTGGCATTATCATAGTTCACAGCAACCTCAAACTCTTGGGCTCCAGTAATCCTCTTGCCTCTGTTTTTCTATTTTCAGTAGAGATAATGTCTGGGTCTTGCTCAGGCTGGTCTGAAACTCCTGACTTCCAGCAATCCATGCACTTTGGCTTCACAGAGTGCTAGGATTACAGGTGTGAGGCACCATGCCTGGCCTACATTTTTATTCTTAGGGTTTTTTGGTGGGACATTAATTTTTTTGTTGTTATCATTTGCTTTTAATTTTATAAAAAGGGGCTTGGTGCCTGTAGCTAAGCAGTTAGGGCACTGGCCTCATGCACCAGGGCTGGGTTAAAAAAAAAAAAAAAAGATTATAAAAAGGTTTCCAGGCTCGGTGCCTGTAGCTTAGCAACTAGGGCGCCAGCCACATACACTAGAGCTGGCAGGTTCGAATCCAGCCCAGGCCTGCCAAACAACGATGACGACTACAAATAGCCAGGTGTTGTGGTGGGCGCCTGTAGTCCCAGATACTTGGGAGGCTGAGGCAACAGAATGGCATAAGCCCAAGAGTTTGAGATTGCTGTGAGCTGTGATAGCACAGCACTCTACCAAGGGTGACAAAGTGAGACGACTCTGTCTCAAAAAAACAAAAAAGGTTTCCATGCCTTGTATAATCTTCTGGGATTTTTTTTTTTTAATGAGACAGAGTCTCACTCTATTGCCCAGGCTAGGGTACTATTGCATTATAGCTCACAGAAACCTCAAACTCTTGGGCTTAGGTGATCCACTTGCCTCAACCTCCTAAATAGCTGGAACTATAGGCACCTGCCTCAACACCTCTCTAGTTTTTCTATTTTTAGGAGTGATGGTCTCTCTCTTGCTCAGACTGATCTCAGACTCCCGAACTCAGGCAATCTACCCACCTCAGCCTCCCAGAGTGCTAGATTACAGGTTGTAAGCCACTGCACCTGGCCCTCTTCTGAGACTTTTTTTGTTTACTTGATATGTGACATATTTTATCATTAAGATTCATCCCTATTGGGGTGGCACCTGTGGCTCAAAGGAGTAGGGCACTGGCCCCATATGCCAAAGGTGGCAGGTTCAAACCCAGCCCTGGCCAAAAACTGCAAAAAAGAAAAAAAAAAGATTCATCCCTATTATTGTCACTGTGATGGTTCACTCGTGTTGACTAGTATTTCTTTGTACCACTAATTTATTCATTTGTTCATTCTATCAATGAAGAATGCTTCTAGTTTTTTGCCATTGTGAAGTGTGTTGCTGTAAACACTCTTGTGCATGCCTCCCAGTGTGTGTAGGGAGAAGTTTCTCTTGGGTATGTAAGGGAGAAGTGAAGTTCTGGAGTCGGAAAGGGTGTAGTTTGTGGGTACTTACAAGATGGTGCTGTACTATATTCTGTATTATATTCCCAGCTGCAGTCATAGTTGTCTGCTACTTTGTATCTTCAATCACATCTGCATCCAAGTATCTGCTGCCAAAGTCCCTGTTCTTTCTTTCTTTCTTTTTTTTTTTTTTTTTTTTTTTTGCAGTTTCTTAGGAATGACCTGAGTACTGAAAACAAGTTGTG